GACGTGAAATTTGAACTGTAGCTAGGGAATAGCCCAAGAAACAAAAGTTATATAGTGCCGATGTGTGCTTTTACCCTAGGGGTGGATGCCACCCCTTTTGGAGGGTGGGAATTTTTTTATTAAAAATAACCTCACGATTCGATAGAGGGACGAATTATAAGCAAAAAGTGTTCTATAAGAATTTTTTGTACAGTCAATACTTTTTGAGTTATTTGCGCCTAAACATGTTCGTTTTTAGCCCAGAAAATGCATGTTTTTGAGCCATTTTTCGCGAATATCTCAAAAACTACAAGTTTTATCAAAAAAATGTTCATAAGCAAAAATGAAGGTAATTAAATAGCAAAGACATTGTTTTTTTTTTTATTTCTGTAGATGGTATAGAACCCGAGTTATGACTCCCAGAAGTTGAAGACAATTTCGAAGATAGCTATAATTGAAACGTTCATCGTCCTGTAGCAGAAAAATTAAAGGTTTTTCGAGGAAAACTTATATAACATCTATTAAGTTCTTGAAAAGACCTTTAAATTGAGTGGTGGTAGAAGTCGTTAGCATGAAAACTAATGAAGATACAATCAAAATAAAATGGTTGTGTTGATTTTTGAGAAAAAATTCAGTATTAAAATTAATGACTTGACGGAAAAAAAAATTAAACGTATTCCTTCTGCAATTTACTTTATTTATGTATTAACAGTAGATTCTCGGAATTTTAACGATTTTAGAAGCCTAAATTTAAAAAAAATGTTCATTTACTTTTGAATAAAATTTCTCAATTTTTTAAAAAATCGCTAAAACTAACAAAGTTATAAGAAAAATGATAGAATAAGAAATTCTAGGTTTTTTCTTACTGAACAAACGCTGGTTTTATCAGATTTACTCTAACTAAAAAAAATTTTGTCCTAATTTTCTTGAGCTATATTATAGTTTATGTATATTCCCTAGGAAAAATTACCTAAATATGAAAGTGCCCAAACCCTTTATAAAAACGCCCAAATATACGTTTTTGAACTCGCTGAAAACGCTGGTTTTATCAAATTTACTCTAACTAAAAAAAAATTTGTCCTAATTTTCTTGAGCATATTATAGATTATGTATTCCCTAGGAAAAATTACCAAAATATGAAAGTTCCCAAACCCTTTATAAAAACGCCCAAATATACGTATTTGAACTCGCTGAAAACGCAGGTTATATCAGATTTACTCTAACTAAAAAAAAATTTTTGTCCTAATTTTCTTGAGCTATATTAGTTTCATTCATTCCCTAGGAAAAATTACCAAAATATGAAAGTGCTCAAACCCTTTATAAAAACGCCCAAATATACGTTTTTGAACTCGCTGAAAACGCTGGTTTTATCAGATTTACTCTAACTAAAAAAAAATTTGTCCTAATTTTCTTGAGCTATAT